ACGATCTTTCTTAAGTTATATTGTAATCACTGATGAATTGAAAAATAAAAAACAACTGAAATAAATGATTGCATTGTTGTTGCTTATTTTAAAATGCTGATGAAACAGGAGCTCATTCTATGGTCAGCTTCGGGCCATTTCCGGTCAGCTTCGGGCCTTTCCGGACAGCTTCGGGCCTTTCCGGAACTTTCGGACAGCTTCGGGCCTTTCCGGTCCTTTCCGGGCCTCTCGGAAGTTTTCAAAGTAATGAATGCCTTTACAATAAAAGTGAGGTATAGTAATCAATAGTTAGAAATATAAAAAGGCTGAAAATCATAATTTTTGGTTATTCAAACTCCTGTAGCAGGTGACCTATTGTCTCAGAACAAAAGTGATCATTAACCTTTTCTTCAGATACTAATTTATGCGATCGCTGAACCTTGACATAAAATATTATCAACATTGCATAATTAGATTACCAACACATAAGTTGTATGACTAGGTTGCCCTCGATTTATCAACACTAACGTTGCATAATTAGATTGCCCACAATTTTATGATAATCAATTACCTCCTACTCGTTTTGACCACCCCTCCCCTATCACTTTTGACTCATTAGCATACCTCCTACTGAAATAATTTATACCACCTACTGGACGGGGCATAAATTACCAATGCGGGGAACCTCATTAGTATTCTACCAACGTCTCATTAGCATACCTCCTACCTCCTRCCTCCTACCTCCTATTTTCGGGGCTCGAGCGGTGCTTTGCTTACTACTGATGGCGTCTCAGAATTTTTCTCAAACCGGAAATCGTTTTTCAATCGATCATGTAGCAAGCTCCGAATAAAACCATAATCAATATTTTTTTAGAACAGTTACTGTAATTGGCCCATTCCAATTTTTTTGAATGCGGATCATTTGATAATAAAGTTCATAAGTCGGACCTGTGAGCGAAAGAAAAAATATCGACAGAGAGGGAACTGGCACCGACTTATGGAATCAGTCTAGCCGATTTCGTACGACTGATTTTGTGCAAAAATGTAAAAATAATTCAATCTTTTTAAAATATTCTAATTTTTTGCCGTAATCGTGAAAAGGGCGTAGTTCACTCATAGAGTTTGTTTCATGTTGCGACAGCACTCTTTATCCAAACGTCATCTGAAATATTCTACAACTTATTCTCAATCTACCTGTCGGAAGCTGCTCTCGTGTCTAGCAGATACGATCACAGGCAAAACTCCACCCTACCCCAGACAATAAGACTATACCCTATCCTAGACAAAAAACTACCCTATCCTAGACAAAACTACTACCCTAACCCAGACAAATGGGCAAAAAATGATACCCTATCCCAGACTTGGAGCTCCGAAAAAGGGACCCTATCGTGCCGATGATCATCGATTGATACACTGATTTGTGTGACTGTCGATTGGTCATCGATTGACCATTACCAATCGATATCAATTAACCAATTTCATCGGCCCGTTGTTGATTTATCGACTGGATATATAATCGATGATCGATTCCATCGATTGGCTACACCGGGTTCAATTGATCGGCATTTTCACCTTGAGTATATTGAATGACTCTATCTAGTTTCTTACTGTCGAAAACATTGCGCTTACATTGTAGCTTGCCCCTTTTCAACAAACTCCATACCAAGCATGCTATTACCGACTTGTTGTTCAAAATCTGTTTACAAGTAATGCATTTTGCAGTCTCACGAAGTCAAAGTTTTTGAATTCGACCCTGAGGTAAAGACTGCTGTCACAAAATTTCGCACACGCGAAGAAAAGACAAGTGGAGCTTTGATAAGTAAGTAAAGGTAACAAGAACCATTTCGTGGAACATACCGTGCCCAGATTACGCTAATATATTTTTACCAGCGCCGCGATCGATTTGATAGATTTTTGCGATGATCTTTTCACATCATTTTTAACTCGAAGATTGCGAAGCAACCGAAGAGTTATTGGAGGGGGACGAGTTTGTCACTCAGTCAGTCAGTCACTTACATTTACTTTCCTGCAAACTTGAGCCTACGTTACTTGTGTTCAGAACTATTTATTCTCATATTGTTTTCTAGTAATTTACTGATTAATTTGCTGTTATCGGCTTCACTGTTCTGTATTTGATTGAATTTATTTATTTTTTGGCAAAGAAAGAAATATATATAAAGAAGTGTCAGCTCCTCTGAGTCTCGAATCTCAGACCTCTGAATTAGAAATCGAAGAAGGAACTACCACTCGGCCACCCGTACCAATGTTACATAATTTCGGCTAGACTTGTCTTTTAAGTGCAGGCCCTCTCCCCTGGTTGTCAAGAATTATAATTTGATTCGTCGTACCGTTCATTCACAAAGGTCGAAGCGAGTATGAGGAAGACTGGCCGATCCTCCAAATTCGTTCCGAAAATGATTGGACGGCGAAGGTGCTGGCCTGTGCTTATCAAGATCATGAAACAATGAAGACTCGTAGAATTTTCCAGTTCTACGCAGCTCACAATCAAAGGGACTGTATTCTTTCTTGAACTCCTTTATTTATTGACGTTCAAACACAACTCGAGGTTATACAAAATATCAATCATGCTACACATCTGTTGTTTATGGATACTAATATAAAATTTCTTTTCTTTCGTATTTACTAATTAATTGGCAGTTTCTTGTTATCTAGGTTGATTACTAAAATGACACTAATATACAAAAATTTTAAACACAAATTTCTCTCCGACAGATTCAGATATTGTTAAGAAATTGTCCCTTTTGCCTTGTTAAACCGGCTACTATATTCAAGTACTAACAATACACGCAAGTCATATATTAAGATATCGAAGTCTTGAAAATGGTCACTTTTCCTGACGAGGAAAAGCTAAGAAAAGTCGCAATCAGTATATGATTATATTCTATTTTACATGTTAACCTCCCATTCTACAAACAAACTCCTTTGCGTTAGCTGAGAGCTCAAATTTCACTATGGCAGTCTTCAGTTGTGGCACTTGGCTTGACTTGGTGGAGGGAAGGCGGCGGAAAAGTTTTCCAAGGTGTTAAGCTGACGGTATGACTACCCCGGGTCTATGCAATTACTTGATGGTGCGACACACAACCGGGATGAAGTGGACGTTGCCGATAAGATCTTTGCGAGAGCTGCATATAATGCATGACTGGCAGTAGAATGTGACTTCCAACCGATTAGGTCCAGAATGTCCTTTATCTCCGTACCCCGTCAATGCTAAGGTTATAGCGCACCCTGAGCGGAAGCCGTGCAAAGTGTGCAGACGTCCGATACGTCTTCGCCGCTGTTCGAGTACCATCTTGTAAACTATACATAAAACAAATTGCTACGATAAAAACCTAACTGCATGACTAGAACACCTATATTTCAGTTAAAAAAACTGAAACAAAGAAAGAAAAAAAAAAATTCAAATCTGCTCCGAGTCGAGGATCGAACCATGAAACTCTGGATTATGGGTCCCTTGGGATTTCTAAACTGCAACGTGAAAAAATAAATAAAAATAAAAATAAAGGGCATGCTCAAACTGTTTTGATTTGAATTATTTAGATAATTTTTACTTTGTTTTGCAGTTAGATTTGATCCCTCAAAACAACTGTTGGTTGTGGAAAAATTACATGATGTAAGTAAAATTCCCGCCAAATTTAAACACGACACAACTTGCTTTTATAATGTAAAGGAGGTCACTAAAACTCCAAGACATTAATCTTTTGCATATATGATATCGGAGCAGCTCTGAGGGGCAAAAACAAAAGCTTCAATCCACACTGATGGATCTGATTTCCCATTAGCTACAAGGGTTGGAGAGAATAATGTTGACGTTTTATATGCAAGTTCTCTAAACTTTAAGTTGCATTATACTAGGACATCAGTGCTGAAGATCTGAAGAAAGAACTCCCTCAACACTTACCTGTGTATCCTTGTCTAGTATTGGTTTACTCAAACATTCTGCACTTTTATTTAGTCAATTTCACCTGTGCCTGATATGAAATAAAGCAGTGAATTTTCAGTTTTTTCTTATCGACAGGGTCTTAATGGGGGAGGGGGGGGGGTCTCAATGTCGGTAGTCAGTTAAAGTTTCAAGCATTTGTTGCTAGTCAGTTAAAATTCTAGGCATTTGGCGGTAGTCGGTTATTTAAAAAAAGTTGATAAACATTAAGTTTAAATGCATCTGAAACGGTGCTTTATACCAACAGAATTCTTTCTAAAATGTAGAAAATCAGTAGTTATTTTGTCCATTTGTCGCTAGTCGGTTAACCCCATTCAGACCTTGATACAAGACTTTGTTAAATACTTCATATTATTTGTTTTCGTTGATTTCAACGTATGTTCAAGTTTACGTGCGTTAAGACTGAACATACGTTGAAAACAAAGAATATGAAGAAGTTGTAGTTAATTTGCCTTGACACTATGTAGCTATATATTGTACAGCTATTTTTATAAACATGACGATGGGAGGACATCACATCCATTGTTTTTCATCTTCATTTCACCTACAGGCAAGTCTCTCTCTTGGCCAAGATCTAGTTTTGAAAACAGAGTATAAACTACTGTGGAATCGTGTCTTTTGTCTGACAAGATTTTTTTTTAGGATCCAAACCTGAGTTGCAATTGATGTATTCTGGAAACAAGCGTCGAGTAGCCGAGGAACTCAGAGTTAAAATGGTACAAAGCACATTTATTGTTTATCTGTTTTAGCGTGACATAGGGGATACAATGCGCAAGGAGGGGGGTCTGGGTATGGGATGGTAGTAATAGGAGGGAGAGAAGAACATTTCATGTAGTTCAACTCTAGAAGTGATTGAATTTCTTCTCATTCTGTAGGTCTTTGAGCTTCGTTCTTATGAAGGATTCACTGAGGAATGGCTGTTGTCAAAGCTGCATGATCTTTAGATGAAGACAGTGTATCATAAACAGTTGTTTAAAAAGATAAATCAAACACCGTAAAAAAGTTGGTGAAGTAACTTACTGACGTTTCGGACGTTTATCATTCGTCGGAGGATTAAAGGATTAACGTCCGAAACGTCAGTAAGTTACTTCACCAACTTTTTTACGGTGTTTAATTTATCTTTTCACAAAACTCAAAAACTGTTTCTTTGAGAAACACCAACGCAGCTCACACTAGTTTACCGCTAGCTCCCACCATTAGTGTATCATAAACTCATTTCAATTACAGAATTTTTTTCTATATTAAATTTAGATAATAGAATAAAGACAATTCAATGAATCTTAGAGAGGTAACAGTTGACCAACGTTTATTTTTAAATCTAATTCTTCTAATTCTAAATTAATAGGCTTAAACGTTACTATAAACATTCCACCAAATTCAGACTACCTAGGAGTAAGTGCATTATTTCTTTTCATTTTTACCGTTGAATGATTTTTTTTTTCTCACGATAATGGCTACTCCATCGAACGGACATTTTTTCTCTTCTTGGTCTTCCTGTGTTCATAATCTTGAGCGAGAAGAACTTGTGTCGAGAGATTAGGTAGCGTTTTTTGCCTTAACACAGGAATCCCACACAGTAGAGTTGCCTGAGAAGGAGCCTAGATTTGAATATGGTGGGAAAGTCATGTACATGCCAATGCATTAGCCGACTTTGCTTAATTGCGACAAAGCACAGATGGATCAAGTCAATTTTTTTTTATTCATATTAATGTTACAAAGAACTAGCATACATGCAATTCACATTTTGTTAGAGGAAACAGCTGTCTAGTACCTAAGCCTGATTTGAAATTGTAACCATGTCCTAGTCTTTTTGTAAAAACTACTGTCCTACTGGTGTTTCAGCTTTTGAATTGTGAAAAACTACTTAAAATGCACAGGCATACAGCAACAGTATAGACCCACCTGCAATCAGTTTATATTAGTTCAAATTGTATTTATAATACAAAGAGTGATAATATTACTGTTCTTTCCCATACACACAGCACTAACTAACTAAATAATCAAATGCTACAAGTATTCATCAGAATACTTGCATGTCAAATATAGCTCAAATAACTAGTTGTTCCTATATTTTAATAGTCTCCTTGCAGCCTTGTTTAGTTTTGGTCACGTGTAACGCAAAGTGTGTGGAGAGGCTGCATTACACGTGACCAGAACTAGACTCGAATGCGAGGAGACTGCAGACCTATTTAGTGACTATGAGACATTATCACTTAACTGGAACAGTTATAACAAAGTATTGTTTCCTTTTATTGCTCTCAATTCACTTTGTGTACCCTGCATACTGTTACTAAGACAGCATTACAGTTGAGTGATACTGACTAGCAGTCACTAATTTCATGGAGATAGTAAGCACTCTATAACCTGGATGTTAATTTTATGTTTCTAACAGTTTTCATTCA